ATTAGTTAAAGTTTTTACAAATGTTGAGGAAAACAATTCAAAATCAGAATTAGCAGTCCCTAATCTCATGTTATCCTGCCTAACATAGTTATGTAAAATAAGAGTTGTCATTAAAATGTCATTAAAGATTCACATTTCATGCCAAGCTGTCAACAAGTTTCATTTTACTTAATTATCTACAGATTTTTTAGGACCACCTGTTTTCAGGAGGGCTTTTTATTTCTAGGAGGTCAATGAAAGGGAAATAAAATAAAAATTTTGCCTACCACGTAGTCTAGAATCCATTTGTTTCTGACTGAATAATGACTTTCATTTCCACTAATACTTGATGTTTAACTCTGATCTACTGGCTAGCCTGGCTGGAAGCAAAAAAGAAAAGGTGATCTACTTAAACAAATGCAATTTAAATACTGCAAAAGCTACCATTTAGTAATAGCAATTTTGTATTTTGGCCTACCAAAGGCTGCTACATGTACCTTTTTTGTTTTTTTAATATATTTTATTGATTTTTAACAGAGAGAAAGGGAGAAAGATAGAGAGCTAGAAACATCGATGAGAGAGAAACACTGACCAGCTGCCTCTTGCACACCCCTTACCGGGGATGTGCCAGCAACTAAGGTACATGCCTTTGATTGGAATCAAACCTGGGACCTTTCAATCCGTACACCGACGCTCTACCACTGAGCCAAACTGGCTTCGGCTACATGTACTTTTTATAGTTAAATAAAGGTCTACCAATTAGTAATTCATTGTTTCCTACTTGTTAATTCTAAGTCTGGGAATTTTAATAAGAAAGAGTATATTAATTTTCTAATGATTTACATGAATATACATAAACATATTTAAAAATAAAGACTATTGAATATATTATTATTTGCTAGACACCTGGTACACAAATTTGTAAATGGGTGGGGTCCCTGGGCCTGGTGATGGGGGCCAACTGGTGCCAGAGCCAATCAGGGCCAGGACTAGCTAGCCAGGGGGAGGAACCAACGGAGGTTGGCCGGCCACAAGAGGTTGGCTGTGGGAGCAAACTGACAACTAGGGGCAAGCTTCTGTGTGGAGCATATGCCCCGTGGTGGTCAGTGCATGTAATAGTGACGCCCAGCTAGGGCCACATGTTCTTATTTAGATCACTAGAGGCCCAGTGCATGAAAATTCATGCACTGGAGGTGGTGGTGGGGGCTCCCTCAGCCTGGCCTGCCCCCTCTCACAGTCTGGGAGTTGTCAAGGGCGGGAGATGACCCAGCAATCAGGGACGCCTCTATTACACCTCTGCTGCTGCCACTGCCAGCAGTGCAAGCCCCTGCTGGCCCTGGCTGCCGCCATCTTGTAGCTGTGGGTGCCTGCCATCTTTGAGGGCGTAACAGTCAATTAGCATATTCCCTACTTATTGGCTGTGGGAGCCACCATCTTTACAATGATGTGAGGGTCAATTAGCATATTCCCTCTTTATTAGATAAAATTCTTCCTCAATCCCTTTTTCACTCTGTCATTAGAAGTTATACATCAGCCTAAATTGTTGTCTCTTTCAGTTATAGTCAAACCAGTTCTCCCTGCATTAATTATTATACAACTGTTCATTTCTTATATTATGTATAATGATTTATAATTATTCCCTTTCTTTTGTTTTATTTGTTTGCTGCCCATCTTTCTTAGAAACTTGAATTGCCATGGGGTTTGGGACTATATGTCTGCCTTGTTACATAGTGTATCTTCTCCACCTACCATTCTGTTCAACACCCTGGAGAGGCTCCAAAATTGGCTGAATAGATACTTCTGTTAGAAATCCATGTCTGACTCGATGTGGATGAATATGGCATATATGTGTGTGATCTAAATTGACTCTCATTAAGAAGACACAAATGCTAGTTCAGAATGTTCTTGCAAGTTCTTTGCTTTTTGAAATCAGAAGTCCCTGAAAGAACAAATGTCTATTTCTAAAGTGACTTCTGCCTTTAGTGCTCTTTAAAAATTGCACCCAACCAAGCTCTATTAAGAGCCTATTTTACAAGATTACCCTGACTGATTGCAAGTGAGCAAGAAATGGGTTGAATTTGCCTGCTGTTCTACGCTAATAAGATTGTAACTATATACTTGAGAGATCACGTGGGACGCACATTCACAGCCACAACTCTTTAGTGCTGCTCTGCACACTATTGAGATCATCAGCAATGAGGATATCAGAACTGGAGTTCCCCAGAAAGAAAAAGAAACTTCAAACCTACTCAGTCAGCACAACTCTTGGAAATTGTTTCCCTGGAGAAAGCAGATGCTCTGAAATACAAATTAGCTATCTGAAGAGATTTATTATAAAATACATGTACAAGTGTGTTTATATGCATTTTGATTCACAAACAGCACAAATACCCTAAATATAGATGAGTTATGTCTGGAAATAAATTTTATTAAGTATTCAATATTGTGATATTCTGTGATTAAACTAGCAGCTTCATAAGAATTATTATTTTTATTTTTTAGGATGTCATTCTTTCCTCTTGCAGGTGGCTTGAAATGCAGTGATTTTCTGTGATTGTTCACAGAAATGAATGAGTTCTAAGCAACATGTTCTACATTCAGTTTTTCTTTAAGTATAATTATTTTGACCTGAGATGTTATTCCCATTTTTTATTGTATACCCTGGTACACATATGTGACCTGAAAGTAAGAACTTTGTATGCAGTTGGTTTTGTTTGTTTCTAAAATTAATTGTTATTCTCCAATTAGCTTTTTAATACTCAGATGGTCTGAAATGAATCCTGTGAACTCAGAATAAATGTGTCTTATTTTGCTTAAGCCTTTTCTTAAACTTCAGGCCTGACCGAGGCAGTCATTTCTCTGTGTTCCATAATGATTTGGACATACATGTTATTATATTTAGCTCTTCATTTATTTTATAAGACTCAAAAGCAGGTACACTATCTTTTACTTGCTGGTTTTTACTGCACAAAGCAGATGACTAAATTTTAAATTTAATCATGTATGTATAATCGTTTTACAAAAATGACTTTTACTTTTAACAAGTTTTCATGCAATAATACTTTTCTAATGTCACGGTACTTATAAATGAGATAAGAAATTGGTGAATAACTTAAATAAAAATCACCAAAGTCCAGAAAATTTTAAAATATTCGCAATGAAATATAAAACAATGAGTGCACACATAAACACATATACATATAGATATTTAAATAAATAATAAAAATGCTAAGTAAAATACAGTGAAAGAGTTATTACTATATTCTATAAGAACATAGATTTATTTTTAAAGGAACTGAGAATTGTGGAAGAAACATTAGTCAGTAATAAGCACAAAGATTATTGTTCAAATATATTCATGGTGTTTATTATAGTAAGTACTACTTATTTGGGGGAAATCCTTAAATATCCAACAATAAGAGTTATGGTGCTCTAAAATGGATTTTGTACTATTCTTAGTTATTATATATTCAAATTATTTTAATGATGGGAAATACTCATGAGTTAAAATTGACTTTATATACACCTCTATTTTCATATCAGCTCAATTTACAATTATAATTATTTCTATTTATATGACATTTATTTCTATTATTTATTTTAATGCCTCATTTTTAGCTAACTGAAGCCACAATATGATATATTATTTCAACATTTCAAAATTACTTGAGATTTCCTTTGTGACTTAAAATGTGGATAATTTTTTTTAAAATATTGAAATATTGCTGCACACTTGAAGAAATGGTAAATTACAACTTTCCAATTTATAAAATTTGTCTTTGTCATTTAATTCAATGCGAAAGTCATGTTCAGTTTTTAATTATTCCTTCATTAAAATGACAGTTATACTTGATGTTAGGTCTATTTTCATATTTTTACCAGAATTTTATATTACATCTTTTTTTTTTCTTTAACATTTTTATTTCTAATATTTGCCTTTTTAATTTTTCCAGGCTTCAAAAACTAAATATCCAGAGGGAGAGAAATAGGTCTATGTCTATATTTAAATTACTTAAATTCTCATTCAATCCGCACCGCATTTCCATTTACTAGTAACATGGTTTTTCCCCTTTCTCTTCTTCTTTTGGCCAGATTTCATTATCAATTATTATTGCCAAAGGGGCTTTGTTCACGGATGAACATATTTCCTGAATTGTTCTGCACTTGAAATTGCTGACATAAATAGAAAGGCGGATGTAGGCCATGCTTCAGTATTAGCTAAATCACACGTTTTCCATTTACCTTTTTACCGTTGTACCTGGAGATGGGCTACAAGCAACCCAGGCTTCAAAAACTTACCTGTCCAGAGGAAGAGATGCAGCTCTCTTCTCTTTGAGCAGCAATCTCACCCTCCCTGTCAAACTTCTCTTTGCGTACCATGTTTTAAATTGTGTCACATATCCATTGCCGAACCAACTGGTGCTGCCAGAAGAAGAGCATGTGCTAATTGCATAGACAGATGTACTGAGCTGATCACTGAAAAGGTAGTAGCACTGACTTCCACTGATGTGGGAACTGTGTGAGGAGGAAAACTACTCATAAGTAATTCAGGATGTCATTTGAAAATAGGGAAATGGATGCTGGGTGAGGAGCCAGCGAGAGCCCCGGGTTAGTTTTATGTTGATTATCACTCTGCTTTGAAAGGGTAGCATTCATTCTGCACCAGCTATTAATTGAACCTTAGTGTAGGAGATAGGCCAGCAGTCTATGCAGAATCAACATGCTGCTTGATTAAGATATGGTATTCTGATAATTTTCTTACTTCCTCTACTGGATATGCTGCCCCTAGGAGAGTATCTCTTCTTTTTCTCAGAACCTCATGTTTTCTTTAATAAAAACAGGTTTGCAATACTGTGTTTCTGAACACTGAAATACAGTATTATGTTTTCATCCCAAATCCAAATCCATTCCCCTAATGATCTGCTCTCTATTACCGTATTTTTCGGACCATAAGACGCACTTTTTTCCCCCCAGAAGTTGGGGGAAAAATCCCTGCGTATTATGGTCCAAATATAGCCTACACATATACTTTAAAAAAAAAGTTTTTTTACTTGCCCGGCTCTGTGTGGTCTCTGTGTGCTTGCCCGGCTCTAAAATGGTTCTAAATGCTGCTGTTTACTTTACAGGGTTGATTACATGTGTTTATGACTGTGATGTTGGGTTTTAATGCACATAAAATATTTTAGGACACTATTTGTTTCAGAATCTTTTTTTCTTCATTTCCCTTCTCTAAAAACTGGTGCGTCTTATAGTCCAGAGCGTCTTATAGTCCGAAAAATACGGTACTTTCTGTCCTTTCAAATGCCTGCCTGGAGCTCCCCCCAGGTGGGCCTGACTGGCCTCATTTATATCCTTTTCTTCCTGACAACAAACTGTGTTTCTTCTCTTCTTACCAGCTTTTCTATAATGTCTTAGAGATATGTTACCTTGAATTAACTGACTTAACACATTCTATTCCTATTAACTAACCCTTATAAGTGTTTTCTTCCCATATACAACATTCCTAGTTATAACAACAAATATGCATATAATGTATTGAAACAGGAATTTGGGGAGGTGAAAAAGATAGGTCTTAGAAAATTTAGAAATTAAGGGGACCAGGGAGGAAGCACAGGGCTGCAGAGCAGCAGAAGGTACATTTCCATAGAATAAGGGAGCTGAAAAGCTGCAACAGGTACATCTCCATAGAATGAGGGAGCTGGGAACAGCAGAAGGTCTATATTTACAGAACAAAGAGAAGGAAGCCCTTCATTGGGAGGGAGAAGAAGAAAGCCCCAAGGGAATAGGAAAACAATAAGGCAGGAGAGGGAGTAACTCTGAGCCCAGGAGTTACTATTGTGACCAGTCTAAGGGAACAGTGACCAATCAGAGGGAACTATCAAGGCACCAGGATCTGCAGCCTCTATAAGCCAGAGGGGAAAAAGAACTCAGTGGGACCATTTTCCCCTCCCTATGTGGGAGTCCAGTCTGTGGGACTCTTTCCCTCTCCCCAAGTGGGTGTCTGTACTTATTCTTCAATAAATATCCACCGTTGCTATACCACCCTCTGTCCCTGGATTCATTCTTCTTTTCTGGCGGACAAAGAATCTGGGTTCCAATCAAAACATTTGGTATCAATACTATGACATGGTAAGAAACTAAATGTATATATATAAATGTTATTAAATAACCACAAGTTGGGTTTTGTAGATAATATTACAGTAGTCTATGTTTGGGCATTACTTTAAGATCTATCATGACTGAAGAAATATCAAAAGATGTTTAGTTTCAGCAAGAAATAAACTCAGAGAAAGACAAAACCTTGTACAAAATATGTTTTGTCTTTTAAAAGTTTCCAAGAGGAGGCCAAAATGATTTGCCTGCTCTAAACAATGATAATTACTGCTTTGCACACAGAAATGGCAAAATACTCAGGAAACAATTGGGGCTGGATTAATCGCTGGACAATTGCCATCCCTGCTTTATAATCTTTGTCCTTTCCGCCATTGTGACAGAATGCTTGCTCCACAGATAGTTTCTGATCATCCATCCCTGGGAAGTGCAATAGGTTACTGAGTTTCAAAGCTTTCATTTTTATTACTTTGTTAGGAGTTAGTCTTGCATGAATTTTCACAGAGCACTAGGGAATATTTTAACCGGAAAGCTCTCTAGAATTGATATATTGTAGAACAGACATAAACTGAAGTGGACCAGTGGTGGGATATGAGAAAACATGTAATGGTGCAGGAGATCAGAAATTTGATTTTATTAATGTAGACTTTCCTGGAAAATGTTGGTTCCCAAATCAGCATCCATTTTTCTTATCAGAGAGTTTAGTCCCTCACCTCTCCCTCACCCACAAAGCACTTGTGCATCAGATGAAAATGTCCCCTTCCTGGGCTCTCAGAGTGGGCTTGATTGGCTTAAGGGTAAGAACCAATCATTCTTGTATCCATGGCCAGTGACTGGCCAGAGAGACTAGGCTAAGTAAAATACATGGCCCTCTTTGAGGACATGCGACCTAATTTGGGTGAAGGATATGTAAGAATGGTTGAAAGAGGTTTCTGAGACAGGAATTATCAGAGGTAGCATCACCCTGTGCAGTGTGTACACACTTGAGGCTCTGAACTCAAGAAATGTCATTCTCACACTGTGAGAGAGAGGCTGGCAGACACAGATGCTGCGATTCAGCCCATTGCTCAGACCTGCACATGCAGGAATGTGTGCAGAGAGTTTCTCATCAATCATTCTAATAAATGTACCAGACTCCCAGGATTCCCTGCAGATAGGCTTTGAACTATGCAGATACATTACAAGGCATCCCTATACCTAATTCTCTTCCAAGATACTCTTCTAAGACTGCCTTTCCAAGCCCTTCTCTTTATTCCTGTAGCCGAGAGTCTTCGCTCATTGTAGGGTTCTCTGTTTCAGGAGGTGAATCCTTGATAATGTTTCCTGGATTTCACCACTACCACCCACACCCACACTTCTGTGTAGCTCCTCCAGACTCCACACATGTGGGCTCCAGTATCAGCTCCAGTCTCAGATGCTTATTTCCTCTTTTACTCGTAAATTGGAATTTATAATATCCTCTGTCTCTGAATAGGCTATAAGTTATTGGTGTTTTAATAACTTCTCTTGTAATCTTTTCAGTATGTTGGATAAAGTGTAGAAAGATTGGAAGCAATAGAGACCCCATTATCCTAGCAGTGGTCGGCAAACTCATTAGTCAACAGAGCCAAGTATCAACAGTACAACGATTGAAATTTCTTTTGAGAGTCAAATTTTTTAAACTTAAACTTCTTCTAACGCCACTTCTTCAAAATAGACTCGCCCAGGTTGCGGAGAAAAAGGAACCCTCGTGCATTGCTGGTGGGAATGTAGACTGGTGCAACCACGATGGAGAACAGTATGGAGCTTCCTCAAAAAACTGAAAATAGAACTCCCATTTCACCCAGTAATCCCACTCTTAGGAATATATCCCAAGAAGCTAAAAACATCAATCAGAAAGTATATATGTATCCCTATGTTCATAGCAGCACAATCTACAATAGCTAGGATTTGGAAACAGCCTAGGTGCCTATCAGCAGATGATTGGATCCAAAAACTATGGTACATTTACACAATGGAATATTATGCAGCCATAAAAAAGAAAAAATTCTCATCGTTTGCAGCAACCTGGATGGAATTGGAGAACATCATGCTGAGTGAAACAAGCCAGTCAATGAAAGAGAGACACCACATCAGCTCACTTATTTATGGATGATAAAGAACATTATAAACTGAAGAATCAAAAGAGAGATATAAAGACAGTAAAGCAACAAGCAGACTGTCAAATTACAGTGGAGAGGTTGGGGAGATCTGGGGGAGATAAGAGATCAACTGAAGGACTTGTATACATGCATATAAGTACAACCAATGGACACAAAACTCTGGGAGAGAGGGTATGTACGGGGTGGGGGGGACATTGGTATATGTACAAAAATAATAATTTAAAAAAAAGATATTATAAAAAAATAAATAAAATAAAATAAAATAAGGGAAAAGAGAAGAAAAAAAAAAAATAGACTCGCCCAGACTGGTATTTTGTGGAAGAGCCACACTTAAGGGGCCAAAGAGCCGCATGTGGCTCGCGAGCCTCAGTTTGCAGACCACGGTCCTAAGGTAACCTGGAACTAGCTGCCTTGGCTTTTACCTTTTTAATGCCTTTCAGAGCTAACGCTACTTCAGTGCCAGGAGAAATGTCCTTTTCTGTCACAATTTTTTCTTTAGCTGTGAATATGCCTATCTTGTTTCTTTTTCTGCTTTTCACTACTCTTTTTAATTTTAGAAAATTTCAAGATGTAAACGGGTTCCCTACTTGTTTTCTTTCTATCCATACTTCATTACCAAGAAGGTACCAAATAACAATTCTGCTACATTTAAAAAAAAATTATTTAAACTTTTTTTTTTCATTTTCCCTACCCAGAATTGGTTTTCCTAAAATGTTTTCCATAGGGATTCCACTCCTCTCCTCCCCTCTGCTCGCCCCCTCTACCCCCAGCACTTCTCTAGTATTTCAAAGGTTATTGATTGTCATTGTTTTCTTGCATTCACATTGCCTCAATACATTCTAACCAAAAGCATCCACTAATTTAACAAGTGAAAATGTTACCTTTTTAAGTAGTGTCTGTTCAGAACACACCTCCTCACAACAGACCAACATTTAATACAACCCTGTTTTAAATGAGTGGCTTCCAAGATTTCTATAATTACTTCTGTATTCTTCTTGTACCTTCTTTCAGAATGCTAATAATGTAAATACCCGAGACTCAACAAACTTTGCCATACTTACCTCACTTTATACAACAGCTCTGTCATTTGAAGTTTAGTAAATTATATAAAAATAATCTTATTTTATTTCTAGGATATGTCCAGATTTTGTGAAACATTGTCTAGTTATCTATCCTAATTCTCCAAGGGATTTTTTTCCTCCCCAGACACACATGCTCTTCAGGTGATAGTATATGGTATAATTAAAACATTGGAGGCACTTATGCATACTCAGGATTTCCTTTCTTCCTTTCCTTCTTCATTTCTTAAGCTTTATTGGTTTAGTCATAAAAGTGGATTATCATGAAAATCTTCCTTACCATCTTTGGTATTAGTAGATATTCTAATCTATCTGCAACCCTAAAATGTGGCTCCAGTCAATGCTTTTACAACTCATTTCAAATATTAAGTTCAAAGAGAGAACATTCTTACATCCTTGAACTACTAACAACTCTTTTAAACTTTTGTTAATATTAAAATATTCAGGGGGAAAATACACATCAAAGTAAAAGCAATCATAGGATAATATGGAAATACAGGAGGAGTGAATGTATAGGAAATCATGAAAATGTGATAAGCTGGGACATGTTATAAATTAAACAAAACAAGAATTTAAGAGCATCAAAAGGAGCTCCAATGTATGTGATGTGTAAGTACATCAGAAGTAGAGAATAAATGTCTTCCCTTAATGATAAATGTGTGTATATATATATATATATATATATATATATATATATATATATTAAAAAAAAACCTCTTGGGTCTAAAAGGAAGTGACATCATTGCCTAAAAGATTTGAAATATTCCACTTTCAAATTATTATCACTCAAAAAATATAAACTCGCATCAATACATTAAGACATGTTTAATATGTAACTAACTAATTCAAGAAGTATGACAAAAATGAAGTATCCGAAAGATTTTGGGAAAATTTGTTAAAATTCATAACAAGACTAAAAAAAAAAGTAAAATAGACAACTTTTAAAAAAATCTTTGAAATGATAGCAAAGATACAGTTTCAAAAGTATTAAATATGAAAAAAAAAAAGTATTAAATATGCACACATTTCATCTTATAAACAAGTGGGCTATGTATTATGCTAAGTGAGTATTATTAAGTGAAATATTCTAGAGGCCCAGTGCATGAAATTCATGCATGGAGGAGTCCTCCTCAGCCCAACCTGCACCCTCTTCAAATTTGGGACCCCTTCGAGGGATGTCTGGTTGTCGGTTTAGGCCCAGTTCCTGGGATTGGGCCTAAACCAGCAATTGGACATCCCTCTCACAATCCTGGACTGCTGGCTCCTAATCACTCACCTGTTTGCCTGCCTGGTTGCCTCTAACTGGCCCCCTCTCCCCCCGCCAGCCTGGTCACCCCTACCTGCCCCCTGAGCCTGGTCACCCCTAACTGGCCCCCTACCAGCCTGATTGCCCCTCACTGTCCCCGTGCTGGACTGGTCACCCCACTCAGCCTGCTTGTTCAGTTGTTTGGTCATCCCTCACTAACCCCCCTGCCATCCTGGTTGTAGGTAGCCATCTTGTGAGGGTGTGAGGGTTAATTTGCACATTACCTCTTTATTATATAAAAGAGGTAAAGGACACAGACAATGTGGGGGGGTGAAGGCCTGGGTCAGTGCTGGGTTAGAAGGGGTCAATGGCGAATAAAGGCGATATATGTAAAACTCTCAACGACAAAGATATAAGTAAATAAATAAACAAACAGATAAATACACAAAGACGTGGGCTTAACCAAGAGCCATGCAGCCTGGGTGATGCTGCATTCCTGTATTTACATCCTTTTATAGTCTTATCTTCTGGAATTTGAACCTGTTATCTAAGTCAAGTCTTCTTGGCAGAAGTGACAGGACACTTTGCTAGTTCTGGGAGATCTAAGCTTAAGTTTTAAGACGCATTAGCAGCACCTGCTTTTGTACTTTAGTGACAGTGTGCCATCATGTATGGAATTCAACTACTCTGAGACCACAATGCTGTGAAAAGCCCAGCCCAACCACAGGAGAGATCTCATGGAGAGCTAAAGCCTCATTCAATGGCTTTAGTTGAACTTCCAGCCAATAGTAAGAATCAAATTGGCCATATAAGCATAACCAATGGATACAAGACTCTGGGGTGGAGGAGGGGGCAGATGAGGGCATGTCCTGGGGGGTAGGGAAGACCGGGAGGAGGTCAAAGGGGGAAAAAGGAGACATATGTACTACTATTTGTAATACTTCAAACAAACAACAACAACAACAAAAATGGCCATCTTGCAAGTGAGGCCATCCAGGAGTTGAAGCTGCATCAGTCAAATTAGCCCAATTGATGCCATGTAAAAGAGAGGAACTGTCCCTATTGAGCCCAAGTATTAAAATTGTGAGCAATTAAAAAAAAATTACTGTTGTCCTAAGTCACAAACTTTTGAGATATTTTGTTCACAGCAATAGATGATAAAAGAAGTTTAAAACCTGGTCCTTGTTATCCCAAACCCTCCTACCTAAAGGCCATGAAGAAGAATAGAGATCCATAGCCAGTGTTGGGGTTTTTAGATATTTTCAGTTGAATTCTTCCATTTTACAATTGAGAAAACAGACCCTTGGGAGGAGGCTTGCTTAGGATTGGGACAGGACTGGGATGTAAATTGAGAAATCGTAACTTACAACTCAAACCTACTTGATGACTACCTGGTTACTTACTTTTTCCCTGTAGGAGGTTCTACAGTTTTAGAATACAAAGGAGAGTATTTTCTAATTCAGAGTGAAAGTGAACCTATTATCTGCTTTTGTGATATATTAAATTCATATTCATTTTGCTAAAACCTAGAAAGAAATTTGGTTCATGACATTCCATTTATTTTCCCCCTTGAAACAGAAAACAGTGGTAATCCTTTACTCCTGTCCTCAGAGGAGCCATAGTCACTAACCTTTTAAGTGCAGTTTGCATTATGATTGGTATGCAATTCAAGGTATTTCATCAGAAAGGTATTACCCGAGCCAGCATGGTTGATTTCTTCTCCACGGTTCTTCTATGCAACATTAGAGATTTACTTTGGTTTAAAATCCAATATTAATAATGAATTGATTGTATAATAGATTAGCTACTATCATGATATAAAGTAATGGGCTTCAGCATGAGCAGGGTCATAATTTCTGCCATATTCCATAATAGCACATTCAGAGATAACATTTGACTATATTTTCCATCTGCTTCACAGATGAATTTGCTTCTGGAAAAGCACATGCATTCAATTTAATTTTTAGTAATCTGTGCCCCTATGAATTTCAATCAAATCCAGTTAACAAAAACAATAAAAGGTCCTCTGTGAAATATGATGCTGTTAACTTTTATATATTGCAATATGCTTTTATGCAAAGGACTTTGGGATAGAATTATTATTATTTTTATTTTGTTATTTTGACCTGAGGTTTTATTGGAACATAAATTCACAGCAAGATTTTACCTACCCTCTCCAATAATCTGTTGACATATGAGGTACTCTGTATGCTTCTTTATTTTAAATAATTTCTTCAAAGGCTCTAAGACTTCCCAAAACTGTTTATTTAAAAAATGAAGCTATTGCTGTCACCTTCCTTAAGATATGGAAAATCTATCAAGAAGCTTTATATATAAGCTGTTTCAAATTTCTCAAGTTATATTTCCTTTCCCATGATGATATATAAGATGAATATTTTGGAACTAAACCCTAACCTGAACTTTGCTCTTTGGTCTTTTTTTTTTTTTTTTTTTTTTTTTGTCTTTGTTCTCTTGCAAGAAACTCAAATCCATAGATCATGTTCAAATTTAAGCAGTACAGTCCATAACATCTTCCCCACAAATTTATATTGAAGGTCATAAAATGGAATAGTAAATCTATAAAGAAGCATTGATATTGAAATGGGTAATTGATATAAGTTTTAAAATAAAATAAATAGTAAAGATGCTAAAGGTGGCATGTCCAACCTTCTCCCCCCACCCTCCTTCCCAGCCCTCCCCACAGGAATATCTGGACCATTCTAGAGCCTAATATGGTATTTGATAAACTAAAACCTCTCTGCATTTCCTGATGGGGTACAATTATGATATGTTTCTGTGAAATACACACATTTGAAGAAGATCTAGAAAGAAATATTAATGAGAAAGTCTTAGTAAATTTCTGTTTTTAGGGTAGAAGCATTATCCACATAATAGACAACTCACAGACAGTTTCTTAGCTTCAAAAATAGTCAGTTGAGCAAAAGTACCAGGCAGAAGCTTAAAAGTCCTCAAAGATTGTATTTAAAACCTGACCTCCTCTCAAGTTTTATGAAGGTTCAGAGTTCATACTGAGATTATATATTCATTATTACAGTCATTTAAAAATATAAAGGAATGATGGGAAATATAAAAGTAAATGGAATGGATGGAGATGTTCTAAGAGATATTTTATAATGTTTTTCCTTTTTAAACCAAAGTAGAATCTGAATGATTTTTCTCTGGTAGAAAAAAGCAGTGCACAATTAAATTCATACTCATTGAATCAAATCATGATAAAAATGTTCTCTAATGCCAAATATAATAATTCTTTCATCTGTATTTCTTAACAACTTTTGGCTCCTTTTTGTTCTCTACATTTGTGTTGTCATGTATAAAAAAGTGACAATTTTATATAAAGTAGATGTAATATATTTGTTTTTGAATTGGATATAATTATCTCCCTAGCTAATAGGCTTATAAATTATTCAAGTATATATTTAATTCTGTTAATTTATAAGTCTTAAAAATCATCTTCATCTTTTAAGTAATATTTAAAAATTTATAAATAATTTTCCCTTGACTTCTGAAGCATGGAATTTAGATAGTCTTGTGAAGACTAAGTACTCCAATTTTCTGCTGCTTGGGAGAGTAGATACATTGAATGACCTTTGGATTAAAAAAACAAGGTTTAATAAAATATACTAAAAGTCTTTTAAAAGGCAATGTTGAGCTGCTAAGATATTAAAGAGCTAACTCATCCTAAAGGCATTTTCGAAGACTGGTCTTATTTCTTGTTGTGAAGATAGTGGGAAAAGAGAGAACCCAGAAACCACCTTTTCCATAGTGGAGAAACTAATTGCAGCAACTTCACTCCCATAGTGAGACATTAAAAGATTATAGCCTTATGTAAAGAAGAAACTAGAAATGAGTCTGCTTCTTTAAGAAATCTAAGTGCTGCCAAAACTGGTTTGGCTCAGTGGATAGAGCATTGGCCTTCCTACTGAAAGGTCCCGGGTTCGATTCTGGTCAAGGGCATGTACCTTGGTTGCTGTCACATCCCCAGTGGGGGGTGTGCAAGAGGCAGCTGATTGATGTCTCTCTCTCTCATCGATGTTTCTGACTCTCTATCCCTCTCTCTTCCTCTCTGTAAAAAATGAATAAAATATATTTTAAAAAAAATCTAAGAGCTAAATGCAGATTTAAAAATAAACAAAACTCCCCTAATAAGTCATAACCATGATCCAGTTGTCAAATGGAATATCTTTATGTGGTTGGTCTAAAAAAAAAAAAATCAAGGTAAAACTTTTAGCTTGAAGTATTTTCAGTTTATAGTGCCCTAAGAAGCAAATTCAGATTCTGTTTTGAGATACTTGTATTCAAACAGGCTTCACAAAAGCTTCCGGGAAAAGAAATCCAAAATATATACCCTCCAAAAAAGAAATGGGCACTAATTTTTAGTTCAACATGGGAAACAAAATCAGACAGTTTAAAGTACAAAAATTATTCAAATATTTGAATAACCAACACAGTATTGGAATAGAAAACTGAAAGACACCAAACACTCATCACTCTCAGATGATATTATTTTCCATCTAGGAAATCAAGAGAAAGTATAAATTAATTATTAGAATTATTCAAAGAATTTATCATTATTGCTGAACATAATATTATTAAAAAACCAACTACATTTTTAACAAAATATAGTTTTTAAGATAATATTTATTAAAGTATCAAAATACAAAACAAAATTAAATCTAACAAAAGTCTTTAAGATAAATATCTATAAAAATTAAATGTTCAAATGCAATAAAAAGACGTTAAGTAATTGGAGAGATTTATCAGGTTCATGGTTTTCATGTTGCAATATTTTAGATACCAATTGTCCCCAACCTGATCTATAGACCATTAAAATTTACAAGAGTTTGCCTGTTTGCTTTGGATTTTGACAAGGTAAATTAACTTATGAAGTTTACATCAAATAATAAATGGCTAACTTTAGCTAAGATATTTCTGGGGGGAAAAATAGTTGGGGGACAACATAAAGTACCATGAAACAAATCATGTTCTTATGACAGAAGTAAATAGTTTTGAGGATAGTGTGAAAAAAAAATGGAGTTTCAATAAATTATTATAGGATAATTACTTTTCTAAGAAATTGACACCTCACCTCAAATTGCATACAAATAAATAATAGATAATTTCAACAGAAAAAAAGGCAACTTACTGAAGAGGAGAAAATATTTGAAAATTACATATCTGATTTGTGGTCAATATCCAAACTATATAAAGAACTCATGCAACTCAAAAGCAAACCAAACAAACAACAACAAAAACAATGTGATTTGAACATGGGCAGAAGATCTAAATAGACATTTAAAAAAATATATATTTTATTGATTTTTTACAGAGAGGAAGAGAGGGGGATAGAGAGTTAGAAACATCAATGAGAGAGAATCATTGATCAGCTGCCTCCTGCACACCCCCTTCCAGGGATGTGCCTGCAACCAAGGTACATGCCCTTGACCGGAATCGAACCTGGGACCTTTCAGTCCGCAAGCCAACGCTCTATCCACTGAGCCAAACCGGTTTCAGCTAAATAGACATTTTTTTCGAAGACAGACAGATGGCCAATAGACACATGAAAAAATGCTCAATATCACTCACCACCAGGGAAATGCAAACTAAACCCACAGTGAGCTCTATCACTTCACAGCTGTTAGAATGGTTATTACTAAAAACACAACAACACATGTTACTGAGGTTGTCGAGAAAAAGGAACACTTTTTCACTTTTGGTGGGAATGTAATCGATATAGCCATTATGGAGAAAAGTATGGAGATTCCTCAAAAAATTGAAACTGGAACTTCATGCGAACTCTACCAGAAGAAATAAAAAGTAGATAAACACACAAAAAATCAAGCTCATAGATACAGAGTACAGACTGGAGATTGTCAGAAGGGGTTGGTGGGTGGTGGGAGAAATGGTTGTAAAGGGTCAAAAGGTACAAACTTCCAGTAATAACATAATTATGTCATGGTATGCAATGTACAGCATGGTGACTTTCTATATATATATAAAACACTATCATGCAAATAGACTGAATGGCAGAACGACTGAACAAACAGTTGCTATGATATGCTTGACCACTAGGGGGCATGTGTAAAACATGGTGGCATCAGCCATGATGGGATGGTGGAGCAGGTGAGTGGAGGCACCAGACCAAGGCAGGGTGCAGATCACTGTAATTGGAATGAGCCTCTGGTGGTAACTGAAAATTCTTTGCTCCCATGCATCACATCCTGCCAGGCACTCACACCTGCTGCTGGTGCAGGCCCCACTCGCACCCACTGCCGGCACCCAGCACCAGCCCCCATTGCTTGGGAACTTCAGTGGAAGTGAGTGGCAGCAGCTGGCACCGAATGCCCCTCAGGGCTTCTCCACCTTCCCCCCGACCCCCTCCCGCTCTTGAGGGGCAATTGTGGCCGGCATCTGCCTCTCACACTTGCTGCTGGAAACAGCTGTGCTCGCACCCACAGCTAATGCTGAAGCTGCTGCTCGCTCCCAGTGGGCACCAGCAGTGGGAGCAAGCAGCAGCTTCAGCGTTAGCTGTGGGTGCAAGCAGAGCTGTTTCCAGCAGCAAGTGTGAGAGGCAGATGCCGGCCACAATTGCCCCTCAAGAGCGGGGGGAGTGTGTGTGTGTGTGTGTGTGTGTGTGTGTGTGTGGAGAAGCCCTGAGGGGCATTCGGTGCCAGCTGCTGCCACTCACATCCACTGGAGTTCCCAAGCAATCGGGGCTGATGCTGGGTGCCTGCAGATTTATTGGGGTGATCTTTTTGCAATGTATGCGAATATTGAATTATGTTGTACAACTAAAACTAATATAATGTTATATGTCAATTTTACCTCAGTTAAATATATATAAAATTTTAAAATGTCCAAAGTATAAAAGTTTAGTTGACAATAGAATATAACAATTATGAATATAAGATAGTGAAACAGTTTATATTGTACATAATAAACACAAAAATTAAAAAAAAGAGAAATATAACTAAGACTAGAGGCTTAGTACATGAAATTCATGCATTTGGGGGAGGGGGGGGTCTCCTCAGCCCAGCCTGCACCCTCTCCAATGCCTCAGGGGATGTTTGGGGATCAGGCCTAAACCAGCAGTCAGGCATCCCTCTCACAATCCTGGGCTGCTAGCTCCTAATCGCTCACCTGCCTGCCTAGCTGCCCCTAACTGTCCCCCAGCTGGCCTGGCCGCCCCTCACAGCCCCACCTGCTGGCATTGGTCGCCCCACACAGCCTATTTTTCAGTCATTTGGTTGGCCCTCACTAGCCTCCCTGCCAGTCTGGTTGTAGGCAGCCATGTTGTGAGGATGTGAGGGTCAATTTGCATATTATTAATTAATTATATAGGATAATCACCTTCCATTTATCAACAGGCAAAAAAAAAAATGGTATGGAACTAAATCCTAAAAATGATAGCAACTTAAAAAAGATTATTATCAAAAATATATAAAGAAAAAGAGAGAGAGAGAGAGAGAGAGAGAGAGAGAGAGAGAGAGAGAGAAAAAGAGGAAGGGAGGGAGGAAGGGAGGGAGGGAAAGAAGGAAGGGGAGGGAGGGAGGAAGGGAGGAGGGAAGGAGGGAAGCAATGCTTGGTAAATGCTATTTATTGGCTCTTTGGATAAACATCCTTCTATTTGTGTTTCTATTTACAAATTAATGGCTATCAAATTAAAATCTATGCTTACTACATGCTAAATTTTTTGTGTGTGCCAAATAGGGCCTACCAATTATAGGAATTAACATGGAATTTGGCTAGCAGAGACCCTTTGAAATTATTTTTGGCCACTTTCCTCTCCCTAATCAAATAGGTGAAGAACTTTTTTTTTTTTTTTCTTGCCGCCCCCCTCTCCCCCCTCTATTTTGGCTAGCTTTGTAGTTTTTTATAAATTCATTTTTGCTATAGAATTTTTAGTACCTTAGAAAGACATATATTATAAGAGTTATAATAGATACATCTCATGGTCCAATCTTGTTCAGGTCTTAACCCTCCCAATCTTTTCTCTCTGGGTTTCCTTTCCCAGGGTTACTAAGGTACATATCACATGAAATAAAATTCACCCATTTTAAATGTACAGTTTCTTGAGTTTGGGTAATTGTGTGAAATTTTGTAAACAAGATCAACATATTATAAAACATTTGCATGATTTGAAAGCTTTCTTTTGAAATGAATTTCCTTCCCTAACT